AAGGGAAAGGGAAAGGGAAAGGGAAAGGGAAAGGGAAAGGGAAAGGGAAAGGGAAAGGATACGTCCCGGCACCACTGGCCTGCGGTTCACCAGAGCAAAGCAGAGCTCCGTCCTCAGGAACACCACAGAGGGCTTGATGAGGTGCTGCCCAAATCTCAGCATGATCACTGCTGATCTTCAGGGTCTGAAAGAGACAATAGTTCAGATAATGAAGGGACTGACTCTGCCTTTCCAAGCAACAGGAATAAAACTGTCAAACCGCCTATGCAGCTTCTAACAGAAAGTGCCTCCTGGGCTCACCAAGGCATTGGGTGTCTTGGAATGGTTGTTACATCTTTCCTAAAATTATCACGTCTTTGCAGGAGTGGTGGAAAAGGCTTCTTTCCAAAGCAAAAAATTTACATATAATTTCTTTAACCCTTCTATGGTCATCTTGGCAGGGCTACAAAATTCTAGAGAATGCAATTTCCCCCTCCCATTTTCATTTGGCCTGCATTGTAAACATTTGGGTCATATGTTCTTTGAAAAGCACAAATAGGATTTCACATTCTTTCTGCCACAGTGCAAATCAGTGCACACAGGACTTATGAAATAAACCACATTTTCTTAATCTCTCCATTAAATACATCAACTGAAGAAATACTAGCAAATTAAGAAAGTTTATTTAGCCATTTTCCATACGCACTTTCTAGCTTGAGCAACTGGAATGTGAAGACAACCAATGCCACATTTTCTCTTCTAGAAAGTCAAAGAATTCCACTTTCATTCACTAAAATTTTCTCTCTTTGTGATGAGAATGAAAATCCCTCTTAAATAGCTACAGCACAGTCCCAAGTGTGTCTATTTTAGGTCCTTAAGCCCTAGAGTATTTAAAGTACTTAATTCAATCAGAAATACCCAAGGTACTGCAGGGTAAAATATGAAGAAATGACAAATTTCATGTGACAATACTTCAGACACATTGGAAGCATTATACTCACATTACCCAGCTTGAACCAAGTGACTAATCAGGAAATTTAGTTTTATATGTTGCCTGAGATGGGGAAATCTACTGCTACCCTCTGGTCATGGAGGGTCTTTTGTTGCAGTTCTTTTCTTGCAAGATTACTGTGTTCACTAAAACCTAAACTTGGTTCTTAATCTAAGAGATTTATTCTAATTTATCATCCCACTTGTACCTGCTGCCATAAAACAAAAGCACACATAACCCCTTCTAAGTGCACATGCTTTGAAAATACTTGTTCTTCTAAAGGAACTTCTGGCTTTGTAGCACACAGATTCCATACAAGAACTTAAAATAAGGGCAGCAGATGCATCTAGTCAGGGTTTACACCAGAAAAACACATATAAATCTTAGTTTAAGATACAGTAACAAATCGGATTACTACATTTCCATGTAATAAACATTTTCTAAGCAGGCACCATGTCCTGTTTTATTTTTGAAAATCACAGATGAAAGGAAATGCTTGAGCAGACCATGGAAGAGTGGGGAATTTAACTATGCCTGTTTCAAAGATTTTCAAAGGTTCTACATTCTTTTCCACATAAAGTCAACAGAAGATTAAGTGTCTGAGATGTGTCCCTTAGCATATATTAAACTTGAAAGTTGACAACATACTAAAATCAAGTCTGTTTAGCTACTAGAAGAATTGCTTAGCAGAGAAAACACCTGCTATCTTGTGCTGATGCTTGAAAAAAATAACTATTAGGAACTTCAATCAATCTGCCTCATTTCTCTTAAGCAATCCATTAGCAACTCCCCCCCCCCACCCCGTGGGGGTTTTTCATTCTGATTAAAACATGCAAGAATGTTTTTACACAATTCAGTAAAGAGACTTGAAATGAAGGAAATGTTTCTGACAAAGGAGAGAAACACATTCCACAGCCAGGACTACCTTCCAGTGATGAAATAGTAAGCTGGTGTCTCCAGAAGCTGGAAAATCCAATGTACCACCTGTCCCTGCACCTGGCAATGCTATGGACAGAAATCAAAGTACTACTGATAATTTCTTGTTCTGTCTTCCAGAACACTGATGAATAAAGGTACTGTCCAGAGGCATAGGACAGACTTAAGCAGAGAAACAAGGCTAAATCACAAATGCTAAATGTAAAATATGATTACTTGAAATTTGACTTAAGGAGGGAGAGAACCTGAGATTTGGTAATTCTCAACTGGAGAAGTCCTCTGGCTGATTGCTGTCATAAGCAAAAAACAGCAGAGTAGCAAAATAAGATTGGTGACATTAGGTTGCCTGTACTGTGTTTTTATCATGCACCTACCACGTGATATTTACTTACTTCACTACCTGTCTTGTTTTAGAAAGACCTACAAAAATCAGTAAAGTAAAAGCACTAATCTCGTACCTCTCCTTGCAATAGTTTGAAGAATCACATTACAGCCCAAGTGGGCTGATCCAGAATTATTAGAACATTAAAAAGTCTCATGCATAGAATTAAAGCATGTATTAAAACCCTATTTGTTTACTATGCAAAAATGTATCTGAATAATGTATTTCTATCTCTTGATTCAGACTAAATAAATGTGTTCCAAACTAATGTGTCGATTGTACTGGTTGTGCTGTGTAATATTGTGGACAGTGCTACTGTCTCCAATTCTGCAAAGGGATTATGGGAGACTTTTTCTTAAACAATTATTCATGATCTATGATATATTACTTCAGCTGCCTTATGCCCTAGTGATCCTCTGTGTTTTTCTGCACAGTACAATCATCTGTGCTCAGAACCAACACAAATGCTAAAAAATGCATTAGGGAAATAAGTAATGGGTACAAGTGAAATATCCAGAATTGTGCAGCAACACACTACAGTAAGGCTGGAATATTCCAGAGTGCTGCCAGGCAGGAAACTACTACTGGCAGAGCAAGTTTTTAGTCATCTAAAGCACTTATTGCTTGCATCCTCTGTAAAGCAGCAGGAATCAACAGAGCCCAGGTGTGTGCACACAGGTCATGAGATGCAAACTGTGTGTGCACAAGGCTTCCCAATTCCCAGACTGGATTGGCCATGCTAAGTCTGCTCCTCCAGAGATTTCCATTTTCCTCACATAAAGAGGAGGTCAGTGCCAGACAAACTAGAAACCATACATAATTGGTTAAAGATGTTTCCTCTTTAATGATGGTAGCCTTTCTAATCCCCAGTAATAAGGAGGACAATTACACAGTAATGTTAGAAAATGAAAGAAATCCATTTCTGATTAAATTTCAGCCCAGTTTAACACAGTTTCTATTCTGACTATTCAGATGAAAAGTGTATTTACTCTTCTTCATATTGCAGATATACATTACATTGCCTATTTCATCTGCCTCATTTTCCTAATTAAATTCCCTTCAAGCTGTGTTACTGCAGTTGTAGGTGGGAATACAGTATTAAAGGCTAACACAGCAAGCAGACTAATTTTACAGCCACAACAGACCTCAAATCTGTATAACCCATACTAGGAAAAGAAAAGAAAATAAAAAGACAGTGGAAATCTACATTACATCCTGAAAAATAAGTGTTAAGAAAAATCTTGAGATGCACTGAAGTGTTTTCAAATATTTTTATAGATTTGTAAAATTTCAGTAGGTGATGCCATGACAATTTTTTGCCTTTTCTTTTTTATACCTTTTATGTATTCTCTTTAGCATACACACTTGTAATTCCTTAAGTCTGATAACTTAGCCTAGTCCTGGTATCCTGTGAGGCCAGGAGACCAAACATCCTGAAGGCCTCACAGCTGGAGGCCAGAAAGCCTTACACTATCTAGAGAAACCAAGGTCCCCTCTAGAACATCCTGTAAACCAAAATTAAGCCCATCTAGGAGGGAATACGTCAGGATAGGAAGACATCACCCAGTTCATTCAGACCTCTCACTGGGGCATCTTTGTTAGATATGCTAACTTGCAAGGTCTATAAAATTGTATATGCCATCTACCATGAATGTGCATTTCAGCACATTCCACCTTGGCAAAATGTTGCACCTTAAGGATCCCTGTTAAATACCAAAATAAAAACACTTGATCCCTTAACTGTGCCTGGCTCTTAATTTTAGGTTCAAGAAAAGGGCATCATAGGCACATGGCATTTCTCCAGTCTATACAGATACTACTCATTTATTAAATGTATTTTTGAGAGGTAATCTATACAGGCCTCGCTTTTCCAGATTTATTCAGCTCCAGGGTTAGAGCTTTGGTTTGTGCTTCAGTTTTTAAACAGCATAAGCTGTAGAATCATTTGTGTCAAATACACAGCAAGAAATTTGAACAGACAATAAATTCTCTTCTGGACAGAAGATAAGTTCACCTAAAAACAGGTCCACAGGCCATCAAGGTGGGTTTCTGCTTGTTACTTGTCAGCACTAGAATCAGACACCTGGAAAAGTGTTGGAAGTTTGCTGATCACAAGGAGTGATGCCAGCAGTTCTTTAATGTTTTCCTGCTGCCACAGACCTCCCCATTGGATACTTAATTGAGATGGTGTAGGTACTCCAAAATGCCTCTTTTTTTTTTCCTTATACGATTTCTCCTCCTTAGAACAAGGTGTTGAGATCAGCACCTGCTGAGAACCAAGTTCAAGGCTTTTGCTGAGAATCCCCTGAGCACTGTTTTAAGAAAGCTGCACATCTGGTTGTAATGGGAGAAGACGAGATAATGCAAAAATGGGCTGCTAACTTCAAATGTGTGTATTAAAGGAAACCAATTACAATACCATTATCTCTCTGTGCTAATAGGAAGGACTGTTTTAGAAACAATCCCAGGAGTATTCTTAAATTTTAACGTTTATTTTACCATATTAACATCACTTGTTCATGAATGTTGACAGTCCTGATTCCAATACTCAATTTCACTATAAAAACACTGCAAATTTATGTGGGAAAAAAAAACTTCTTCCTTTCGATTTTTTTTAAGGTCTTACAAAAATACTGATTTTTTTTTTTTTTAATTCACAAAGATAAGAAAACTTGTGTTACACACTGTAGTTAAAGGAACAACCTACCTATACAGTTAAATGCATATTTGGCATTGTTCCCTCTCAAAGGTTTGGTTATGGGGAAAGTGATATCCTACTTAGACATCTGAATGCTGCACCATATTCAAAAAGTAATATACCATGAAGACCTGTCCTGCAGGCTACCTTCTCTCTTTTCACGTTTTGGAATTTTTTACTTATTCCTTCCTCTCACTG